CATTCAAGAAACAATATTTTAAAATTACAATCATTAACACATAATCAATTTTCATCACCAAGGTTTAAAAATTTATTCAAATATGCATGGTATAAAAGTGGTTATTTAGAAAAGAAACCAGAAGAATTTGATACACCAGTAGATTTTTGTTTCAAAACTAATTTAAAACCAACATGTGATATTTGCGGTGGAATTGCTGTAATTTCTTGCTCATGGTGTAAAAAATCCCTTTGTATAAATCATTTCTTTCATGATCATCATCTTTGTAACCGATATCAACCATGAATATTTGTTATTCTTGTATGCAATAATTATGTACGGTATTTTATGTAATATTTCCATATACATATATATAATGACTTCGGAATACAACTTTATTATATATGATTGAATTTGTCGTTAAATGAGCTATAAGTTTTGTTATGAGACAAATTTAAAAATTTTCAAACATTAAAAGGGAGGGGGGGGATTTCGAAAAATATGACATTTTCGACAAATCTGATTACATGATTTTGAAGTACATTAAAGACCATAAAACTTTTATTTGAAACTTTTGTTTATATCTCTTATCGCTTCGACGGTATCCGCTGAGAAATGAAAAAATCGATTTTTTTCAAGAAGGTGTTTCACCCCCTTAACGGCCGACTCAGCACTTATAAAAAAATACGTGTCTCCTATTTTGATCTAGACTACAACATATTCAAAGCTCATTAAAATCGGAGGGGGACACTTCCGACCCTTTCCTTGTTAGAAAAATGAATTTAATTCCGTAAATGTTCGAAATGGCCGCCGTTCTCATCTAAGCACCACTGGAATTTGCGAATTAATGAAGCTTGCACATTACGTAATTCTTCTACATTAATCGAAGCACATGCATCAATAATTCTTTGACGCATGTCCTCTTGTGTGGTGGGAGCTGTGGCGTAGGCCAAATCCTTTATCTTGCCCCAAAGAAAAAAATCTAACGGCGTTAAATCCGATGATCTTGCCGGCCATGCAATTGGTCCATTTAATCCAATCCATGAATGTGGAAATTTTTTATTTAATATATTTACACAATATCTGACTCGATGAGCTGGTGCGCCATCCTGTTAATACCACATACGTACATCGAGAGGAACCTTTTCAAGCAGAATTGGTAAAGTGTCTATTAAAAAATTTGCATATCTCTCTCCGTTGAGAGTTACGTCAAAAAAATATGGACCAATTACATGGTTGCCAATAATTCCACACCATACATTTAATTTCCACTGGTGCTGAGAAGGAATTTGACGAAGCCAACGAGGATTGTCGACCAATAGCGACAATTTTGTTTATTTATTCCTTTTGTATTCAAAAAAGTCGCTTCGTCTGTAAATAGTACTCGCTGAAAAAAAATCTGGATCTTCTTTTATTTTTTGTAAAGCCCATGTACAAAATATTCTTCGATTTCCGAAATCTCTTAAAATTAATTGCTGATGTTCTTTAGCACGGTATGGATATAGTTGCAGACTTTTTTTAGTGCCCTATGTATTGAAGATTTTGAGATTCCTATTTTAAAAGAAGAAAACTTTAAAAAAGTGAACTGCAATGACAATTGATTTAATATATTGATTTTTATATTTATTTATTTAATTATTTCCATACCTCATATTTTATGTATATTTTATATCTTTTTTGTGATAATACTCATTTACCTGTTTGTCATGCTATTTCTCGCACACTTAGATGAGGATTTCCTTGAATAATCAATCTAACAAATTCAATTAAATCATTATTACGAGGATGTTCTGCATAATGTTGACATCCTGCAGCGTTATCCTCATGTTCTAATCTTTTAGCCAATCTACATGTAAAATATCGAATAATAATGTGAAATATGTATCTTATAAATGTGCAATGTTTAGTTAAATTTTTTAATTAATTTTTATTTTTTATAAAGTTATTTGTTACCTCCGAAATGATTGTCTTGATGGTATTGGTATATCATCACGATATGTTTCTCGGTACATTCGTACCGCAGCTGTACGATCAAAATTAGCACGTATCAAAATTCTTCGCATTCTATTAAATTTACTATTCGTATCCATTGTAATATTAGATATTATATTATTTAATCATAAGTTTTCTATTTATATTTTTCGTACACTGACAAGTAACACTACCCAACTGCCACTCGCCGATTCGAATGAAACTTAACATACTTATTAAACACGGAAAAATATTGAATACGTGTTTTTTTGTTTCGGCTATAAACGCATTTTAAGGATAGAAATCACCCCTCAATTCCTGGGGGTGAGAACAACTACGGCTAATTATTTCCGAAATGATACATTTTCTGAAAAATGTGCTCAGGATTAAAGTTGTAGGATTTAAAGTGATGCATTTGATGGTGGTCTTGAGTTGACCTTGAGGTCGATTTTCAAGGTCAGTTGAAGATTATCTCATGTTTTTCAAAGAAAATACCTACTTTTAATCCCGAAAATCGATAGAGCGTAAAATTTTACGTTCAGAACGTGGATAGTTCGATTGATTAAAGAGGGTTATTTGATGATTATCAGTTTTTTTTACAGAATTTTGTATTTATTCAAAACAATGCATATTTTGAAAAACAATGTTACAATCAAAGTTGTAGGGTTCGAACTTCGAATTAATGTATTTAATAATGATCGTGAAATCGGCCTTGAGATTAATTTTTAAGGTGAAAATGTGCACAATGAACGTTTTTTGACGTTTTTAGATAAAACAAATCTCAATTTGAAAGCGTTCATTGATCCAATTAATTAAAGCAAGATCAGTCAGTGATTCGACTAATAAAGGAAACAGAAGTTAATTAATCCATTCAAATAAGGCAAGATGTGATCGAGATTCAGTCAGTAAAGACAAGATGTGATCGAGATCCAGTCAGTGAAGGCAAGATGTGATCGAGATCCAGTCAGTGAAGACAAGATGTGATCGAGATCCAGTCAGTGAAGACAAGATGTGATCGAGATCCAGTCAGTGAAGACAAGATGTGATCGAGATCCAGTCAGTGAAGACAAGATGTGATCGAGATCCAGTCAGTGAAGGCAAGATGTGATCGAGATCCAGTCAGTGAAGACAAGATGTGATCAAGATCCAGTCAGTGAAGATAAGATGTGATCGAGATCCAGTCAGTGAAGGCAAGATGTGATCGAGATCCAGTCAGTGAAGACAAGATGTGATCGAGATCCAGTCAGTGAAGACAAGATGTGATCGAGATCCAGTCAGTGAAGACAAGATGTGATCGAGATCCAGTCAGTGAAGACAAGATGTGATCGAGATCCAGTCAGTGAAGGCAAGATGTGATCGAGATCCAGTCAGTGAAGACAAGATGTGATCAAGATCCAGTCAGTGAAGATAAGATGTGATCGAGATCCAGTCAGTGAAGGCAAGATGTGATCGAAATCCAGTCAGTGAAGGCAAGATGTGATCGATATCCAGTCAGTGAAGACAAGATGTGATCGAGATCCAGTCAGTGAAGACAAGATGTGATCGAGATCCAGTCAGTGAAGACAAGATGTGATCGAGATCCAGTCAGTGAAGACAAGATGTGATCGAGATCCAGTCAGTGAAGACAAGATGTGATCGAAATCCAGTCAGTGAAGACAAGATGTGATCGACATCCAGTCAGTGAAGACAAGATGTGATCGAAATCCAGTCAGTGAAGACAAGATGTGATCGAGATCCAGTCAGTGAAGACAAGATGTGATCGAGATCCAGTCAGTGAAGACAAGATGTGATCGAGATCCAGTCAGTGAAGGCAAGATGTGATCGAGATCCAGTCAGTGAAGGCAAGATGTGATCGAGATCCAGTCAGTGAAGACAAGATGTGATCGAGATCCAGTCAGTAAAGGCAAGATGTGATCGAGATCCAGTCAGTGAAGACAAGATGTGATCGAGATCCAGTCAGTGAAGACAAGATGTGATCGAGATTCAGTCAGTGAAGACAAGATGTGATCGAGATCCAGTCAGTGAAGACAAGATGTGATCGAGATCCAGTCAGTGAAGGCAAGATTTGATTTCTTTTTATACATCCTATGGGTATAAATTCTACGATAATTGACATTATTCTTTATATTCATGGCAATAGTAAGGAAAAGTTTCATTTTCTATCGCAAAAAAAATGCTCCATACACAGAGAATTAGTACACCACGCACATTTTATTACTGCAATGTTATTGCAGATTTTGCAAACTGTACCGCAATTCTTTAAACAGAAATCAACAGGTATTTCACTTCTATTTGGCTTTTCTTCGATATATCCACTTTTCCACCAGGCGTACAGGGTCTGTCCGGAAAGTAATGCGTCGCATTTTTTTGTGACGTGACTATACGTCGCAGTGCGTTCGGACCGGTTGGGGAGAGTGGGGGGAACCCTTAGCTTTCCAATGATTGGTCGGTCAATTGTCTCCGTGCGCTTGGAGGGTTAGGACGGCTTTTTTTGTGAACGTTTACGTAGTAGTCGCGTCGAACTTATGATGGAGAAAACTTTAGAGCAGAGGTTCCCAAACTTTTTTTTCTCATAGACCACTTTCAAAATTTTGCTGGTTCCGGTGGATCCCCCGCAGCTACATTTCTACCATATTCCCAAAACTCGACAAAAAATGTGAAGATTAGATCTAACTACTGGAAATTTGCGTCGCAGCTGAGTTCCAACCACGAATTAACAGTTTTCGAAAAAAAAAAATAAGTGAAAATTGATTGGTTAATTGATTGTGCTATGAGTGGATGCCAAAAAAGTAAAGTTGGCCAATCAGAAAAGTGATTTCATACCACTTTACTTTTTTGACATTTACTCACAGCACAAGGAACCAATCAATTCTCACTTATTTTATTTAGAAAACTCCCCATTCGGAGTGGTAAAAATAAAAAGAAAAATAGTATATTTTCTTGTGTTGTATTTATTAAAATATGTAATATAAAAGTCGTAATATAACTAAAATTAAACACTAATAACGTAACGTAACTTCAACAATGACAATCACAAAATAGTCATAATTTTAATGGGAGGGATGTACTTGATGGATTGACAGCAAATTATCAATATTTGGCTTCAGTTTTGTTAGGAATAACCGCAAATCTCCCCGTTCTGTGATGTTCAATCTGCTCCTTTTTTTTGTTAAAAGGTTTGTAACGACACTAAAACTTTTTTCGACAAGATATGACGAGGGAAACGCTATCAAAAGCTTTCTCGCAATTCCCCACAGTCCAGGATATTTTTCGTGTATTTCTGCCTGCAGCCAAAATGTTTGATACCCTCTTTTAAATTTCACCTTCAGCTCCTCATTAGTGCTGAGCTCGAGTAGCTCCTCTTGTAATATCACATTCTTCACTTCCGTTTCATCAAATAGATTTATGATCCATGGTGGTATTTCCATCGTCAGAATATCTTCAAATCTGATTTTGAAGTCATCATGCAGGGCAATTAAATGTTGAACGTATATCTGAATATCCTCATCAAGGCATTCTACCTGTGACAAGTTTGGAAACTGGGAAAATTCGCGGCGACTAATATTTTGCTTCATAAATTTCAATTTTCCAAGGAAAGCTGAAATTACACCCTTTGTTTTTATTAAATTGAGGCTGTCCCCTTGTAATTGTAAGTTAATGTCATTAAATTTTTTGAACAAATCTGTTAAATATGCGATGTCTGCTTTCAAATTGATTAGGTTTTCTTTTAAATCTGGATCTTTACTTTCCAGAAACTCTAAAACTGATTCAAAAAGTGAGTAAAATCTTGTTAAACATGCACCTTTCGACAACCAGCGTACTTCAGTATGTAAGAGCAATCGTTGGAAGTCTTCATCATTTTCATCGCACAATTGTGCAAATAAACGCGTATTCAACGCATTGCTTTTTATTTTGTTAACTGCATTAATCACAAATTGAAGCGATTGGTGCAATCTATCACTCAAATTTTTCGCTACTAGGTGTTGTCGGTGGATGACACAGTGAATTGCAGTTACCTCTGGTATAATTCTTTTAAGATGGCTTATAAACCCACGATATTGCCCGACCATGGCAGGAGCTCCATCTGTTGCCACCGAAATAATGTTTGTGAATGGAATCGATTTTTCCTTAAAAAAATCACTCAGGACATTAAATATTGATTCACCTTTAGTGTCCGTCTCCAAAGTTTTGGCGAATAGTAGCTCTTCATGAATTTCTTCGTCAATAACAAATCGAACATATGCCAATAATAATGCTTCATTACCAGGTAAAGTTGACTCGTCCAGTTGAATAGAAAAATGAGTTGTTTGCAGATAATTACACAAGAAGCTTTCAATATCAGAGCTCATTTCATCAATACGTCTTTGTACAGTGTTGTTACTCAAAGGAATTCTTTTGAGTATGTCAAATGGAGATTTGTGCAGAACAGTTTTTAAAACCTCTTCAACAGCGGGTAAAATTAACTGTTCTCCAATGGTGTGCGGTTTTCCAGATTTCGCTATAAGTAATGAGATATTGTAAGATGCCCGCAAGCCATCATCGTTACTTTGAGACGTTGAAGCGAACATACTGTGCACGGTGGGTCTCTTTTCATATTTTGCTTTCAATGTTTGAAAATATTTCAAATCTTTGCCTATTTTATCAGGATGACACTTTCTTAGATGATCTTCGAGCTTCGATGGTTTCATAGAGTCATTGCTCAAAACTTTGTTGCATAAAAGGCATATGGGCAATCGCTTGTCTGCCTTTGATGGAAGAAAACCAAATTTCAAATAATCAACATTGTACTGTCGACATTTCTTTTTAGATTCAGCCATGTTTCGTATCAGTTACCTAACAGGATATGGCTATTTTAACAAAAAGTTCAACCTTTCTCGGCTTTCTGTTCTTTTATGGAAGTATCTAATAATGGCTCTGTTTAGTTTTTAGTATTTAATTTTTATTACGTACCTACTACACGCAAACATTACAAATATACTTATTACAACATAAAAGTATGTATAACAAATAGGCAGGTAGGTACTTACTTTTTCCGACACTGGCAAACACTAACATCGATTCACTTTACTTTACTTTTCGAAATTCCGAAAACAAATTAATAACGTTTGTCCTTGCCATTCGTATTTATATTAGTGAAGAATCAAACAAGTTCATGCAAGATTGCAAGCACACACAGCACAAGTCGTATTTCGTCCCTTTGCACGTCTGAACAAGCGTCGCGGGCGGCGGCGCGGCAGCGGCGCGGCAACGGCGCTTTGCAAGTCTCGACACGTTGTACTGAATATGGACTATGCAAGTTTTTACAAGTAACAGTCACTGAGCTTCTTAAAATATTATCTGCCTACATTGATAGGTGAAGTCAAGCCAACGTTTTAGTTCTTCACTATCGAAACCAGATAAATTTTCGTGCACCCCCACTTACGAATTGTGAACCCCCATTTTTTTGTCACGCCAACGTAGACCCCCGTCGAGTCTCCCGTGGACCCCTGGGGGTCCACCTGGACCACTTTGGGAATCAATGCTTTAGAGCAACGCTATGCGATAAAGTTTTGCGTGAAGCTGGCGCTCGAAAGACGCCGCTCGAAACTTTTGAAATGCTTAAGGAAGCCTTCGGGGACGATTGCCTTTCCAGATCGCAGTCCAACAGATGGCACAAGATGTTTAGAGAAGGTCGGAAGGACATCACCGACGAGGCCCGCGCAGGACGCCCGTCAACATCGCGAACGGACGATCATGTGACTCGTGTGCGCCAGTTACTGAATTCAGACCGTCGAATGAGTGTTCGCTTGATGTCGGAATTATTGACCTTGCCGAAAACGGTTGTTCATGAGATTGTATCGGAAGACTTGGCCATGCGGAAGATTTGCGCAAAACTCGTGCCCAAAGTTTTGACCGATGCGCAAAAGCAACACCGAGTGGAAGTGTGTAGAGAACTCAAGGAACTCTGTGAACATGATCCCAATTTCCTGGACAACGTTATCACTGGGGATGAGTCATGGATCTTTGAGTACGATCCGGAGTCAAAGAAACAGAGTGCAGAATGGTACACGACGTCGTCGCCACGCCAGAAGAAGGCTCGCATGAGCAAGTCCCGGATGAAGTCCATGCTCATTGTTTTTTTTGATGCAAAGGGGATAGTGCACCATGAATTCGTACCTACTGGCCAGACCGTCAACGCTCAATTTTATAAGGAAGTGCTTCAGAGACTGAATCACAGGGTTGCCCGCGTTCGGAAGGAGATCCGCGCTTCGTGGAAACTCCATCACGATAACGCGCCGGCTCACACCGCCTTTGTTGTCACGGCCTACCTGACCAAGATCGGTGTGACAACGTTGCCGCAGCCACCCTACAGTCCCGACCTGGCCCCGGCGGACTTTTTTTTGTTTCCTCGGCTGAAAAGGAACCTCAAAGGAAAGCATCTCGAGTCGGTGGATAACGTGCAAGCTACTACGACGGCTTACCTGAAGAGCATCCCGCGTGAGGAGTTCCTGAAAGCATATGACGCATGGAAATCGCGTTGGCAAAAATGTATTGATGCAGAAGGGTCATACTTTGAAAAATTTTAAGTTGTTTAACCTATCCGATCAATAAATTTTTTTTAAAAAAATGCGACGCATTACTTTCCGGACAGACCCTGTATTTAATTATGTTTTTGAATCGGGGTGATGAAAATTGATTGTGGATTAATGATTGAATTTTGAGAATGTTATTCCTCAAATGTAGATTAATGTCATAGTTGTATAAAAGAATTAAGTCTGAAAATTGTTTCAGGAAGTTTTTCCACGGTCTGAATACGTAAACATCCAATGGTCGAATGGAGCCAGTTGTTCCGGCAGGAATTGTAAGGATTTTTATTTCCTTGCCACCCTTGTCTGTATTTTCAAATTTTTTTTCTGTTTGTCCTGACCAAGAGTCCAAACACAAAACAGACTTCTCGCCAGCATTAAGCAAGAAGACAGCTTCAAACCATTTAATAGCCAAGTCAGATGTCAACTTTCCAGATTTTGTGGCGAAAACGAGGATATTATCCGCTTTGTACATTGACTTCTGTACTATCGGTCCAAAATGGCCACTTGTCTCTTGCAAAACTATTAATAAAGGGGATTTCAAGATACCATCAGCAGATATTAGAGGCTGTATTGTGTAACTATGGGTCAAGGAGTTCAGAGATTGGGCAAGACATTCCACTTTCAAAGAACCCTTCGATGCTAATGTACCAGCATGTGTTTCCAAATTGAACCCTGATTGGTCTGAATTGTAAACGTTTGCTGTTCCTAGCAAGCCTATCTCTAATTTGACTTGACTCACATAATTGGAAGCTTGTTGCAATAGTTCTGCTTTATTTGAAATATGTGCTTGTGTCAGGAATTTGTTTATCTTTCTTGAAACAATGCCATGTGTTATTTTGAACTTGTGTATCCATTTCGATGAAGCCGTAAATAATTGAGAAGATAAATGAACTTCTTCTTTTGCTTTCAAGACCCATCTCTTTAGATCTAAATCATGAATGAGTAAATTTCGATCAGATGAACTTTTAAATTGTTCTAGAACGTATTGAGAAATATATAACAATTTATCAGTCCTTGACGCATTCTCAGCAACTTGTACTTCCCATCTGTACAGTTGTTTTTCATCTGTAACTTTTTTAAATTGGTTTTTGACTGATTCTATAGTCTTTCTTTTCTTTTTTCCAGATCGCCAAAATTGAATTGCTCTGCTTTTATAATCAATGTCTACAATTTCTCTGAATTTTGTATCATTTTGCACAACTTCTAAAACATTTCCTGGATCGTCTTCAACTAACCCAGCATCAGGAATCACACTAACATCAATAAAGCTCAAAGTATCAGAAGTCTCTTGAAACACGTCAAAATTGATAGTGTCTTTTATCAAATCTGCTAATTGAGAAGCGAATAATCTTTCTTCATCTGTTATTCTAGATTCTATACTGTACACTTGGTCTTCGAAAGTGAGACATAATAACTTTAAAATATTTTTCGGGTTTAATGACATTATGAAATTTTTGCAAATTAATAATGCTTTAATACTAATATCATATCAGAGATTCAAAGTAAATTCACAGAAAGCAATGTTTGTGATTATAAGCCCAAATAAAATTAACACAAAAAGTAGTCGTGGGAATAAACGATGGAAAAGTATTTGTTGTAAATACTCTCCAAAAGAATTTTGAAAACATTCACGAGAAACAGCAGCCGTGACAACAACTGACGTAAAACTACAAACAAGGAACACTCGCTTAAGTATAGTCACGATTGAAGATATGTTGAAATGAAATTTACGAGATACCTCATAGAAAATAAATGAAGAAATAGTCTTGGGAAATGCTTGCTCAACGACAGTCGTGAAAATGACAATTAATCATATGTTCAAATGAAATCCTAACACAAAATAAAGGGTATACGTAAAAGGTGTTGCGGATAACTTCAGAGTAGCAATAAAAATAAAAAAAAATTGAAGATATTATTTTAATAAAGCACAAGAGTAATGTTTAACTTACAATTAGGGTGATACTTAACATTTTCTTACCTTTACTTTTATTCTAAAGTTACCCACAAAACTTTTCTCCTTATTTTTTCTGTGAATTTGCATCTACAATTCAGTTCTGAAGACACATGAGTCAGTGCATGAAATCATGATTATATACAGGATGTGACAAAAGTGCGGCAACGGCTAATTAGCTCTCCAGATTTAATTGACCTTGAAAATCGACCTCAAGATCAACTCAAGACCACCATCAAATGCATCACTTTAAATACTACAACTTTAATCCTGAGCACATTTTTCAGAAAATGTATCGTTTCGGAAATAATTAGCCGTAGTTGTTCCCACCCCCAGGAATTGAGGGGTGATTTCTATCCTTAAAATGCGTTTATAGCCGAAACAAAAAAACACGTATTCAATATTTTTCTGTGTTTAATAAGTATGTTAAGTTTCATTCGAATCGGCGAGTGGCAGTTGGGTAGTGTTACTTGTGAGTATCATGATTAAACCACAACATGACATATGTCAACCTCTAATGCACGAGTCAGAAATTAGCTATATCGCAGGGCCGAAAATGAAATGGTGGATGTCGCCCGCGATATTTCAAGCCGGAAAATCTCGTATAATATGTAAAAAAATATTTACATTAAATCACGCATCGTTATATTCGTTTCAAACAGCGCTACAACTTTTATTATATCAAAGTATCTACATTATTATAAAAAAATTATACATATCTCTTCGTTCTTTAATACAGATATATTTTGTAATCAACCACTATGCTCACAATAAAGTTCAGTTAAAGCCATTTAATTTTATATATATTTGTTATGGTCTATCTCTTTTAGTTTAAAAGATAAAAGGAGGTGGCCACTTCTAGGAAGTACACCCTGTATATATATATATATATATATATATATATATATATATAAAAATAGACAGAAACAAAGAATTGAAGAAGAGTGAATAAAAGAAGCTAAAGATGAAAAATTATATATATATATATATATATATATATATATATATATATATATAATTTTTCATCTTTAGCTTCTTTTATTCACTCTTCTTCAATTCTTTGTTTCTGTCTATTTTTTGTTTCACAAAAATGAATGATGAATTGAGAAAAGAATCTAAGCGAAGCTTTTCAAATGCTTGGCTCAATAATGATCGATATAAATCTTGGATACGCAAAGTACCATCCGACGATAGTCTTTATTATTGTAGTATATGCAATAAAAATTTTTCGTGCAATACACATATTTTAAGACATGCGGATTCTGCGTGTCATAAAAATAATATTAAAGAAAAAAAT